TTTTTTACTGATAGGGGTACGCAATCAAAAGTTTGGAGACCACTGATTTAGAGCACCAAGGAACCCAGACTTAGTCAAGCCCTCCCAGGCACCAGAATTGCAGGGAAGAAAGCTGGTGTTCCTGAATTTAAAATTCTTACAGGACTGTAGCCTTAGACCTATTTGCTAGTAAAATTCATGTTGGCATAGTGAGTTATGAACATGTATCAGACTTAAACATGAGCTAACAAAGCTCCTTTCCTAACCCACCTTTTCATACATCCACTGGGATAAACATGATCTCACGCACCTCAACTAAGTCATGAAGTACTCCTGGCACACCCTCCTAGAGAGAATGAGAGATTGATATGGGCCTAACTTCACTGATGAACAGACTTAGGGAAAACTTTTTAGTGAAAGCACATCATGTCTTTGAGGCATCTGGAGTAACAGGCTTAGCATTAGGCCATACTTACTTCTTTTTCCATTACTACATATTCCAAAGTCAACAAGAGGTAAGAAAAGTCACTTACTGAGACAAGCTCACACATTAAAAGCTGTTGTACTATGGAACTGGCAGGATGAGGGGAATACTTGCTACATGCAACAAGCGCCTGAGGGAGAAGTCCCTCAGCAAAACACCTGTGCATATAATTGGGAGTCTGGGTTCACCAGTGCAGGCAACTCCTGGGAGAGCTAAGTAACAGCTTCTGAAGGCACCATATGAAGGCTTTGACTTTCATAGCAGGACAGCATCTTACAACATTTGTGCCCAAGTCATACAGCCCCACAACCCAGATTCAGTAAGCAGCAGGCCAGATGAGTGGTGCAGGGGAACAGTGACAATGTTAAATTACTGCAAATTCAAACAACAGTACTTAATGCTGCTGCCACTTGTTGGGTTCAAGAATTTGGTGCCACGTGCGGAGCTCCATGGGGCTGGTTTGCACTGCTCCATGTGCTAGATCTTGGTCACCACTGTCTTAGATCATTTTAAAGGTCCCTCCTCTTCTACTCATGTTCCACACGTGGCCACCTTCCTCCCATGTTTGAATGAGAAACCTCCTTGTTATGACAACTACGTATTTAAGTTTAATTTACCAACTGAAAGACCCACTCATTGTTTGAGAAGCAACTCTCAAACAGTTATCACTTCTTGATGCTTTTTTCTACAAGTCACATTTGTCCACATGATAAACCCTGAATTTTTTGCAGTTATCTTAGCAACACTGATGGGCCCATATACTTTGTATGCATCTTCTGAGCAGCTAATGGAGGAGATGTAACCTTCAAGGGGCGTGAGGTTTTTTCTGCCTTTGTAATTACATCTGGGTCATGACGAGTCCCCATTCCATGACCACCTTGGGGAACAATGACCCAAAAGAAACACTGGCTTTTGATAAAAGACTTGCTCACCATTGTGATCCCAGCCCAGGTTATAACCCAAAGCCTATTCAGTGGCCTACACAATAAGCCAATCAAAATTATAAGATGGTTATCAACACTGAAGGGACTTGAAGTCAGAGAACCTAAATTGTTCTTCTACCCTTTGAGGTGCTCTTATAATCAGGGTTGAAATGTCAGAAGGCCAGGAGGAAAGCACTGTGTCTTCTGGGGACAGTGCTCAATGCTGCCAATCTAGCGTCTTTATTCAGCCTTAAATCCACACACAGAAAGATGACAGACGCTGACTTGCTTTGAACTCCCTTGTGCATTACATTTATTATTTTGATTTTCTTATTTGTGAACTGAGCACCTGTTTATGCCCATGTGGCACCCTACAACTAACCAACATTTTCCTTTCTCCTTTGAAGACACCACTCTAATCCTTTATTTGGCCAATGACAGCTAAAAAACTGGATAGTGGCCTTGAGTCAGGCAGGAATGAAAGCTGCCTCTGCTACTGGTGATCAAATACAGCAGCAGGCCACTATAAGTAAAATAGTGCACAGATCAAAGCAACCTGAGATTACTTAAATTTAACAAGGGCTCTGGTGGAACAGAATAGCTCTCCTTTTACCTGTTGTGGGAGTTCACTGATTAAGTACTGAGCAAATTTCTGCAGCTGATCTCTCTGCAGTCGAGACAAGGACTCTGAAACAGGTGCTCGTAAGCATACTGCCGATGCCTGGAGAGAGAAGAGAGATATAAGAGAACGGCTGTCAGCAAGGTCAGGCAGAACTAGCCCTGTACACTAGATGACTGAAGCTGTTTTAGCAGCAGCCATGGTTAAGGTTAAGCATAGATTTTCCTTGTAATTATGTAAAGCAGTGCTACAGACTGGACTCAGCCTATGTCTTGATTTTATAAAGCCTATTTTTAAGAAAAAAATTCCTTTTCAAGGAAACTGCTAACAGCTGTGCTTAAGATCTGTTGTTGCTAGCAATTGCACAAACACTGGCAGAGAATTCACAAACAAACCTCTAAAATAGGCCATTATTTTTTAGCTTCTGGCAAAGAAACAGCTCTGTGGGGGGCTGTTTTATAGACTCGCCATCCAACTAAGATAACCATTAGATGCTTATTCATTTAAAGCTTAAATTCAGTTTCTCTTCCTTACAGGATTTTTAAAAACTAAAAAGATTATAAACTGTAAAAGATTGTCTTAATTTCTTTCACTAGGCAGAACAAGCAGCAGTCACTTAATTTAAAATTGGAAAAAGGCCAAAACATGTCAAGGAGCAATAGGCAGATGTACCTGGCATCAAGCAATCCCCTTCACATACAGTTCCCCTTGTGCGCTCAGAATATACCAGCTACAAAATGGTTTCCATATCATCATTCTGGTTGAAAAGGTAGTAGTTTGCTTTTATTGCATGGAGGACTTCTAGCCTTTTTGTGCCTAATGCTATAACTGAGTCAGGAAACCTGCTGGCTACTCCCAGACTCCCAAAAGCACCTATTAGAATAGCCATGTAAGAGCAGAAATTGCATTTAAAATACCCAGCTGTCATCTGGCAGCTAGAGGCAACAAGGTGCTTTTCTTAAGGTCTTCACATTCAAGCCTGCAATAATTATCTATTGTGAAATACCACTGATAAATTGTTAGCAATTTTCACCTCTACTTTTAGGGAGGGTTAAAATAGATTGAAAACCATGATGAGCTTTGACGGCTTTAAGACAATGAATAATCCTTCTGTTCCTTCTAATAAACTACAATCAATCCCTCAAAATTTACTTGGTGAAATGTCTTTCTGAAGAATATCTGCAACATAAGGCTGCACCCTAACATTACATATTTTGTATTTTACTAGCTTATTCTGCCTACTTTCACAACAGGAGTTTCTTGGGGGACAGAGCACATCTCCACTGCATGTGCATAGTGTTAACCACACTGCAGGTACTCCAATAAAAATGGGGACTCACATTTTGAGCATCAGACAGGTGGGTTAGTTACCCAACCTGAGGCATAGCATGTTAAAATGGGCAGCAGTACACAAAGGCCAACATATACTGAAATGGATTTTCAACAACAATAGTGCAAGTAACAGCCTTCAAATCCAAAGAAACACTGTTTGCAAAGACTCCCAAAAAAGAATTAAAATAATACGCAGTTTTGCCCACTACTGACCCTTGAAGACAGAGCATATAATCCTCATAAAAACACTAACAAGGGGACAGAAAGAGGCAGTAGGTATGCATTATCAAAAGATGGTCAAGCAGCTTTGGAAGCTAACTGTACAGTATAGTGAAAATATACAAGGATTAGAACTGTGAATTTGCAGTCTGAGTGGCAGTGCAAGTTCTGCAATCTCCAGAGCTACATGACCCATAGGCTAAAGGGACAGTCTAAACTTCCCTGGAGAGAAGCAAGCCTGAAGCATAGAAGCTTGTACCCAAGCCATTATGCTTCAACACAGAAGAACATCAAGAAAGTGACACAGAATTGTATTTAAAGGCCTACATTGTGAATCCGGAAGAGACAGAGGGCCACGACATGGGCACACCACTTGGCCCCAGCTCCGCAGGTACAGCTGCACGAGGTGATCCTACATCGGTCAAACATCACCGCCACGTTGTATGCACCTTTTGGTGGAACCATCTGTGGAGGTACCACTGTAGCACTCAGATGGAAACCTGTTGAAAAATAAGCCAAAATTACTGTCCCCCTGAGGATCAGAACATGACACTGTTAAACACAACAACACTCACATATGTGCACTTATATTTAACTTTAAATGTTAAACAGTAAAGTTGTTCTGATTGCTATAATAGCATTCATCCTGAGTCTCTAGAACTGGTCTGCCCCTTTAGCTGATCATGTTCACATGTCATACATTAGTACCAAGGTGTTTTAAACCTCAGAAGAGTTATGTTAATTTAAGTGTAATAAGAAAATGCACAGAATAGCATGGTGTCATGAAATGTGGGATCTTATCAGTGGAGGTGTTCAATACTGGACCAAGCACCCCCATGAGGAACATTTTAGGATAAACTAATCCAGTCCTCCCATACTGCAGAGGAACAGATAAATTGATATCTAAGAAGTTACTTCAAAACTTAGGTGAACTTTCAGAATGTTGCAGTAATCTATATTACACTTGAGCACTTATGTTGGCATTTCAGACACCACTGCTAAACAAGGATTTATTTCTCAAGAAGGAGTTCAGGTAAATTACACATCACCTTTTGATTCTGAAAATACTCTATTCCAATAACCAATGTCTTGCATGAGATTTAGGTAAACTGTGAAAAGAAACGCCACTGAAATATCTAAAAAGCCAGCCCCACTCATCAGTAAGCAAACAAGTGGGAAATTAAATGATGTATTTCCACCTAAGTGGGATGACAAAGTCAGAGGTTGGCTTCATGAATAGTTATGCACAATAAATACTGATCATATCCTTAAGGCACCCTTCCTCTACAAACATGGTTTACTTACCAGGGCACCTTAAATGTTAGAAACAAGAAATGGCTAACAAAATATACCAGTCTATTTCAATTGCCTCTTAAAGACTTCTGTTCCGTGTCAAGATTTCTCTCTGGCAATGCATATCAGCTCCTTTAACTATCCTCAACTTCTTAAGACTTGGTGCACCATAGAAAAAAGCACCAATGGTACCATTCACCAAGTAGCAATAATTAGACTTTTAGGCTCCTACTCGCCCGCTTTTCTAGAGCGAACTTTTTTGTAGGGAGGATGAGGGGCAGTATTTGAAACAGATTTCCATTGTCAACATGCTAAGGGTAGGTAAGTGGATTGTGACTCCAGGGTAGCAAACTATATCAGCTTTGGCCAAGCCACTATTATCATGGTGTTCAATACTGCCCACAACTTTCTAAATGGGATGAAAAATCTTTTAGTGTTGGGCATCCCACTTTGTGCTGAATCCTCATGATAATTACAACTTTCTGGTACCTGCTTGCCTCCTCATTGCTGCTGTGCACTGGGATTCAAATCCTCTTCCTGACTTAGGCAATATATTTGTGATCAGCGCAGGTGAATGCCACCCAATCCAAGCAGCAGAAGAATTTGGGGGAAAAAAAATAAAAATGAAAGGAGGTGTTCACCACAAAACTACTGCTCTGCTTAATATAAGTTATAGATCTAATTTACTATCTGCATACACGTCTCAACACATCAATTTGCTACACTAGGAAACATCTCAGAAAAAAGCTAAGACACCCTTCTTTCAATAATAGCATGTTAAGCCTTCTGCAAACTTGATGTGCAGCCATACTTCACTTGTACATGCTAAATGTCTAAAATGTTTTACAGAACAAGAATGGGTTGCAGTGGCAATCTTCTTGTCAAAAGTTTGACAAACTTTATTTATATGTGAAGAAACTTCACTTCTGAAACATGAGGAAAGGAGAACTGGTTATAATTAGAGGAGGAAGAAAGCAACACCTTACGTAGCCATCTCCAACATTCAAAACCAATTCACAGACTTGGGCTTGTTTACAATGTACCAGTCATCTTCTGTAGAATAGCATTTCTCAACCCATGGGTTGGAAGAATATATGAAAGAGTTGTGAACAAACCTTAAAAACGGATTCTCCTTTAAAGGAGAAAAACATGGGAAACCATAGGTTTCCTCTTGCAGGCTGGCAGAGTTCCAGCCTGCAAACAGCTGCCTGGGGGCTGGGAGGAGGGTGATCAGGCAAGGGGCACCATGTGAATACAGAGGATACAGCAATGACAGTAACCCACATAAAGTCAGCCCCTAACAGGAGGAGGGAGAGGAGGATCCAGGTAGTTAACCAAAGACTGTGGCACTGGTGTCATCGGGAAGGCTTTGGCTTCCATGACCACAGCCCGCTCTTTGGCAAGAGAGGCAGCAAGCTGCTGGGAAGAGATGGCCTCCACCTCTCTCCGCTGGGGAGGAGGCTCTTCTCAGCCAGACTGGCTGGCTGACCTGCTCCACTGGGCTTTAAACTAAGCCTGCTGGGGGGCGGGGGACTACCACCACTGCTGGCCCACTGAGCAACCCTTGCAAAGCCAGCAGGCCAAGGCATTTAAGGGCACCCACCCCCACCCCAGCCCAGGTACAATCTGTGGGCAAGGCAAGAGCCCCCAAGGGGACACTTGCCTGCCTGTACACAAATGCCAGGAGCTTGGGGAATAAGCAGGAAGAACTCATCCTCCTGCTCAATGCAAATAATTATGATGTCATAGGGATAACGGAGACCTGGTGGGACTCCACCCATGACCAGACCATGGGTATAGATGGCTATACCCTGTACAGGAGGGATTGTGTAGAAAAAAGGGGCGGGGGTGTAGCTCTCTATGTTAAGGAAAGCTACACATCCCTGCAAGCTGATGTTTGCAACCAGGGCAGACGACTGGAGACCCTCTGGGGTCACAATGGTGGGAGTCTACTACAGACCTCCTACCCAAAGTCAAGAGCTTGAC